TGTGTGTTTCAGACTTAGCACCTGTAACCTCTCACAGAGAAGCTGTGAAGCTCTGTCCTCAGTTCTCAGCTCCCAATCCTCACGCCTGAGAGAGCTGGACCTCAGTAACAACATCTTACAAGATTTAGGAATGAAGCTTCTATCTTCTGGACTGAAGAGTCCAAATTGTAAACTGGAGACTCTGAGGTCAGGATTCAAACTTTTCTACAGATGATCATTTAAAATTTTAATTTAATTGTTGCATAAACAGCTAATCTTTATAGAGTTATCAAGTGAACTTCTATTTACATTTGATTGGATTCTTGGTTTTTCTCTCTCCTTGTATTTTGTTAGGTTCTTTCTGTGCTTACCCCTTCTCTTACCCTTTATCCTGTGTTAAATTCTGGTTGTTTTTTTTTTATTCATATTTTGGATGGACAGAAACATTAACAAATATACAACTGGAATAATCATACTGTCAGTTCTCTGTCCGTTTCTTAACAACAACCAACAAATAAGGACTAACAATAACTAAAGACAAACAAACAAAAAACAAAACAAAAACAAACATACAAACAAAAAATGCCAGGTGAAATAAAGAGATAAACCGCCTCCTGGGAAACATCAGCAAAAACAAAAGCAATGGGGGCAAACTACCCGGGTGCCTAAAAACAAAACATAACCTTGACCACTGATGACATTAGACAATTTCTATCCTCTACTGACTTTCAAAGTAAAAGAACAACAACAAAAATACCAACGATACATGAAACATTGTCGATGTACAACAAAAAAGGACCCCAGACCTGCTCAAAAATATCTTCTCTACCCTTAATTCTGTACATGACCCGTTCATATGATGCCATCTTAGACATTTGTTCAGTCCATTCCCTGTGAGAACAGGGGCTGGATGACTTCCAGTGCCTCAGTATTATCCTACATCCTGTTATGAAAGCCAGACACATCTACAGTCTCTGTTTTTTTGAAAGGATATTGTTGTCAGGTAACAGTCCCAGGAAACACACAGCTGGAGATTTAGAAAGATTAAGTTTAAAAATATCATTCACCAAGTTCATGATCACGTCCCACAAATAATCATTTTTCCGTCATGTGTACAACATATGAACTAGAGTCCCGGCTTCCTCCTGACATTTCCAACAGGTGTCATTATCCACAAGCTTCAGCCTGACTAATTTACTGGGAGTCCAGTAATATCTGTGAAGCAACTTGTACTGGATAAGTTGAGACTGTGTTTCAGGTGAGCAAACATACCATGATGAAACCAGCTTCTTCCAACTGTCCTCTAAAATCTGGATACCCAGATCCTTCTCTCAACACTGCCTCAGTCCCCCCAAATTGGGAGAGTGCGCCTCTCTGAAGATCCTATAGAATTTGGATGCCCTGATTCTATTAATGCCAGGAGCTGCAAACATCTCCTGAATACTAGATGGAGGGTCTGGATTATTATTCAAAATGGTTTTAATACAGTGTCTTATTTGAAAAAACCTCCAAATTTCCCTTGGATCCAGATTAAATTCTCGTCTGATTTCTGCAAACGGTTTCATGCCAGTCTGCCCAAATAAATCCCCCACCTGATTGATACCTGTCCTAGCCCAAGCCTCCCACCTGACCGGTTTCTTACCAATTAATATTTTCTTATTATACTAGATAGAGGCAGTAGAGGTAAGATAAGGGCTAATGTTGGTATATCAGTGAGCTCTAAACCAGGTCTCTTGCATGAAAGCCAATACTGGATCTTTAAATGGTACTGGTCTTCCCTTCTGAGTGAGGAAGGCCTCTAAAGACAAAGGAGCCACAAGACTTTCCTCAATCGCAACCCATGATGGCTTCTCCGTAAAGGAATTATGTATCTTAACTAACTGAGAGAGGGAGAAAGCATAGTGATACCAGACCATCTTGGACAATGCCAACCCGCCACTATCTTTAGCAGCATATAGTTTGGACCGATTAAAAGATGGCTTTTTGCCTGCCCACACAAAACCCTCCACATATGTATTATAAAGCTTTAGCAAATTATGTGGGACTGCTATCGGTAACATATGAAGAAAGTACTGAAGTTTAGGGGCAATAATCATCTTCACCAAATTAATTCTGCCCAAAAGGGACAGATTTATTTTAACCCAATTCTGCAACAGCGGACGAATGCTTTGAATCACTGGGGAGATGTTTACTTGCATTAAACCAGGGGTCAGTTTAATCCCCAAGTAAGTCAAACCCTCGGGCATCCACTTGAACTGCCATGAGCTCCTCATAACTGGAGGACACAATTTAGAAATGGGCATAACTTCCGACTTAGACCAATTTATGGTGTAGCCAGAGATTACAGAAAAGGAATCAATAATTGAGGAAATTGCAGGAACGGCCTGTTCTGGGTTACTTGAGATCAGTAAAATGTCATCTGCATACAAAAAAGTTTTATGTTCTTCTTGACCCATATCCACCCCCCTGATTTTCTTACATTCACGTAATGCAATTGCTAAAGGCTCCAAAAACAGGGCGAAAATGAGAGGTGATAAGGGTGAACCTTGTCTAGTACCCCGACTTAACGAAAAGGAGGGTGACATTATCCCATTGGTAGTAACTGTAGCCATTGGATCTGTGGGGGTCATGCGGGCCCCACCACGCATCATGACAAATGGACCGTGTTTTACTGTTATTATTATTATTATTATTATTATTGTTATTGTTATTATTGTTTTTACAAAAACGCTACACTATGTTGCGGTTGAATCACAAATACACGGACGCGCAAGACAGTGTGTGTAGATATATTTTTAATCAAACAATCTGTTACATTACAATCATCATCATCATCATCAGAGCTCCGCCGTAATGTCCCCGGCCGGGGTACTCGGACACCCCCGATCGCCGTAATGTCCCCGACCCGCGGACAAAAAAATAAAAAAAAAACACAAACGAACTCTCCCCGGCCGGGGTACTCGGACACCCTGGCCCCGGCTCGGGGTCGTCGTGGACGCACAAGGGTTAATTAATGAAATTGGGCGATAATTCCCACAATGCTGTGGGTCTTTCCCTTTTTTATGTAATAACGTGATCACTGCCGATCGCATACTAAATGGCAGTCTCCCTCTTTGAAACGCATCTTGATATACCGACAGTAGTCTTGGAGCTAATTCACCCACGAACACCTTATAAAAATCTGATTGAAATCCATTGTTGCCTGGAGATTTGCCCAATCTAAGACTGCCAATTGCCTGCTTAACTTCAATTAGTGTAATCTTACCTGCTAATACAGTTCTTTGGTCTTCAGACAGGCTGGGAATTTTAATAGAAGAAAAGAAATCTGTCAGCCTCTGTTCCTCCACCAATCCATTAGAGGTGTAAAGCTACTGATAGAATTTAGTAAAAGCATCATTAATTTCTTTTTTACTGGTGGTCAATTTATTATTATTACTAGGAACAAAAATAGATGGTATAAGGTTGCTAGATTTTATCTGCTTAACCCTGTGTGCCAACATTTTACCTGTTCTGTCCCCTTGTTCAAAATGCTTTTGATTTAGACAAAACATTGCATATTCCGCTTTTTTCTCCAGTATACTATTCATCTCAAATTTAAATTTAATTAATTTGTTCCATAAATCCCTCTCTAGGTGCAGCAGCTCCTTGATATCCTGTTCCAGCTTCATCAGCTTGTCCCTTTCAGCTTTTTTAATCAAGGAGCAATAGTGGATAAGGCGCCTCCTCAAGTAGGCCTTAAAAGCATCTCAGGTCATTCCAACATCGTCAATAGAACCCTCATTGTCCAACCAAAACTCCTTTATCATTTCCCTTATACATTCACAGTGACCCTTATTCTTCAATAATGAGTTATTCAAATGCCACCTAGGTGACGGTTTAATATTATCATCACCAGAAAGAACAAGGTCAATGGGAGCATGATCCGATACAGCAATATTACCAATAGTTTGACTCACCAGAGAACGAGACACCAAGAAATAGTCTATCCTGGAGTAGGTTGAGTGAGGATGCGAAAAAAAAAGTATAGTCTTTTTCTTCAGGATGAAGAAGTCTCCATATATCTACCAGGCTCAGTTCCTCTGACATCACGTCCACCGCAACATTTACTGGGTATTTACTTAGTCCAGTATGGGAGGATTTATCCAACAATGCATCCCTGACCCGGTTAAAATCTCCCCCAATTACAATATTTGTATTACCTATAGTCCGCACAATGGTACAGACTTCATGAAAAAATTGTGGCTGAGGAGAATTGTGAGCATATATGCTGACCAATGTCATTTTCCGCCCCTGTAAACATGCATCCAAAACCACCCATCTACCCGTCTGATCTGTATAATGCTTAAAAACCTGAAAATCCAAGTTTCTTGTGATCAATATGACCACCCCTCTTTTTCTAGCAGAAAATGCACTAAAATAGACATGCACCACCCAATCTCTTTTAAGCTTTAACGATTCCGCCTCATCGAGATGGGTCTCTTGAATCAGGGCTATGTCTGTCTTTTTCTGCTTCAAGTATGTGAGGATTTTCTTCCTTTTAATAACATTATGACAACCCGTTATATTCCACGACACTATTTTACATAACTCCATAACACCACGCGAGCCAAGTTATTGTACAGATTTATCCAGAAGAAAATCCCATTTAACAAATCTTAAAGCCAGTTACATGAGACAACCCAGTGGTCCAAAAAATAGGTCTGTACAGGACAGTTGGCACCATACCATCAAAACGAACAGCAAAACAAAACACAGTTGAGAAAAAAGAAAAAGAGAAAAAAAAA